GAAAACAATAGCATAAATCTACATGATAACATACCATGACTATGAGTTAAACCGCTTTTCTGTCATCGAGTGAAGTGCTTTAACTTCAAACTCGATTCCCTAAAGTTGGTCCACAACAACTACAACTCATCTTTTGGCTTTCTGATTCATATGACTAGCACTTATCAAGCTACATATATAAATACTATTGTAGGGTTTTAAATAATTTTTTAAACCCGTTTAAACGCAAGGCAAAATAATTTTAGGCTACGTTATTTGGAAAAACTTTTCCGGGAAGAAATCCTAAGCCGGATCCAATGACATTTAAAACAAATCTAAAACAAACCATGGGGTGTTTTAAAGAATACCTTTTGAGATMTGATGTAGGTTYTGACGAAGCATTTAGAAATCAAATCAGATTTCCTCTATCGGAGATCCATACACGAACACGCCTTGGCCTCTACCGGGTGCTAGCCCAAAACCCTAATGTAATATGCRTTTATACAAAATAAAGAAAAAGTTCCTTTTTCTATTTTTTACCGATCTTTAATAAATCTAAAAGATTGGTTATTCTTTTAGACTTAGGCCCATCACCTTATTTATAGTGGATTTCATGAATTATAGATTTACTATAATTCAAATAAGGTTTTGTATTTATCTCGGTGTGTGTATATATATATATATATATATATTATCATAAACAGGGTCGGCCCTGATATTTTGAATGCCCATGGCGGAAAGCCAAAAAAATGCCCCTTATATGTGTGTATAAAAACCAAAATAAACTATTTGAAGGGGTTTGGAACCTAGTCAATCTAGCCGGCTCATCCCCATGCCAATTTCTTTTCCTATTTTGAGCACCAGATGGTTGTGATCGAGGAAACATACTCAAGTAGTTAAATTGTTAAACAAATGATACGATATAAAGAATAGAAAAATAACATCTAAACTTCGCCGTTCGTGGTTCGTGTTGTGAAATTGCCAAGAAAGTGGATAGATTAAGCAACTTGGACAAATTGATAAAGACGAAAACATAAGCACCAATCTTAAGCCTTTGTCCTATATTAACCCGCTTCAAAACAGCTCCTAAAAAGCTTCTAAACAGCCGTCAAAACAATGCCCGAACAGCCAGAAAAGGACCAACTATATAATTGAACATCCTTTCTTCTAAACAGCCTTCTAATATCTAAACAACCTTCTAAACAGCCTAAAAAGTAAAAAATTTAGAGCTTTTTAGGGCAACTGAAGCTGTTATAACGTTGTAGTTAAAATAGTGGGTCTTCTTAACTGAATGGCCTTCTTTAAAGCTTATTTGCTGCAATATTTGTGGCAATGGAGTCCCAGATCTAATGAATTTACCTTAGGGGCCATCATGGTGAACATGAGCCCCTCCTTTAGAATATTTCGTTGTTTATGTTGAATAGCTCGTGCTTGTGATCAAATGATAGTGAAGCACTTAAGCTTCATTGTAAATACCATAACCAATTCCCTATGAAAAGGTAATTGTGGCCTAGAATCACTCATCCTGTCATCCATCCTCATGCATCAAACTGGTTAAGTGCTTCACCATCATTTGATCACAAGCATGAGCTATTCAGTTATTCAGTTATCAAGGGGGTAGGTCCTGGTGGGGAAGTTATAGATACTTTTCACCAAGTTCGGGATGGATTGGTGTGGTTCCTCTACGCCTAGGACACCATAATATCCTCCTAACTGTTATTCTGTATTTCTGTTAGAACTTAGAAGGCTGGTTAGAAATTGCAAAACAGCCTCAAAAATCAAAACAAAAGTAAAGTGGATGTGGAAATATTCAAACATAAAGTGATCAAAATCAA